AAAGATTAAAAGCGGATATTCCTTAAAATCCATGCTTGAGCAATCGAACTCCATATTAAAACCTGGGTCAACAATCAACAAAGAAGTTGAAAGATTTAAACGTCGCAAAGAAATTTCTAACATCTTGGACTTATCTGCTTACTTCAATGATTACCTTCCAAAGCGGCATGTCCTCAACGTCAACTGACACGTACAATATTGACACGTTAAGTGTCACGCTTTGTTTTCCTTTCCGTTTAGCGCTACTAGGTTGTTCGTTTTGCCTACACATTCTACACTTTTACGAAAAGTGTACACTTTGGCGATCGTTTTGATGAAGTGACGCAGACGTCGCTGTTCGTTTTGCGAGTGCATCTACACCGAATGTACACTTTCTCCACACTTTCTACTCTCGATCCCGGGCGAGTGCAAGAAGTGTAGTCCGCGAATTTGGCGGCAAATTTCAAAATTGAAAAGACCAACAACAGGAAAATACAACATTTATGCTAACATCTCAACGTAATATAAATAGAAGTAATTATTAATGCATCTTCTTCGTGTATAGAACGATTCAGCATTTTATTTTTCTACGTAATGTTTGAAACAATTTACAATAATTATGTATTACTACGTAACCGCGGTTGGAATGAACTAAACTATAATGTTTCCCTGTTGTAGTTAAATTGCTTTTCATTCTACTGCAATAACATTCTCACCCTTATTGATCCTCAATACCTGAATCATCGTCCAATACAGATAACCTCAAAATCGCGTACCGCTCTACTAAATCGGTCATCTTGGACTTTCGTGAGGTTGCTGGCGTTCGGGACGTCGACGAAAATGTATCTACACTTCTGTACTTTTCAAGAATAGTGTAGTACACTCGTTACACTCGAGTGTAGATAGTGCAGTCAACGCGAATAAACCTACAGTCATCCACCGGTGACTCACGCGGTCCGAACGAAAGGTGTACTGTCAGCCACCGGTGACTGACATGGCGCTTAACGTGTTAATATTTACGCAGTAAATGATTACTGTCAATGCGACATTTAATTCTTAATGAAGAAATTTACCCTGTGACATTTATTCATTACGAAGCACTTCCCTTTTTATAATGCTTGTTTATCGTTCATTCTCGCTAAATTATTTTACGTTCATTAATACTTTCAATAATTTATTTGTTGCTGTAATCCCTCAGTTTATTAAGAATGGCCTATTCGTCCTCTTTCAAAATTTATTATTTAAAAATTATTTTTATCTACGTGTAGATGATGGCATTGTATTTCAAGAATTTATAATCTCATCAATTTCCTATTATACCTTTAGATCCTTAGTCAATTGTCGCAACGATTTTAATGTTGTTAAATTATATTGTTCACCTGTTAACACGATGCGGCTTGCGATATAAGAAAATAGCTAAGACGAGAGAGGAGAACCTTAATGGTATTTAGATGTGTTCCAAAAAAAAATATGAACGTTGTGCATTAATTATGTTATTGTTGCTCGAGTCATGCGAAATGTAAGTATGTAACACAACAGTTAAGGATTGTGAATGAGATAGGTAACACAAAACTCCGATTTGAACTTTGAAAGTGAATTATTTATATCTGATTTCTTTTGAGAACTTCTAATCTCATCAATTTTCCTCTACTGCTTGGATGTTTAGTCGGTTAATGCGATGAATATAATATTGTTAAATAATCTGCTATTAAATCGGCGTGGCCGGCGATATAACAATATTCTTGAGACGAGGGAGGAAGACTTAATCGTACTGAGATATGTTTTTACGAAAAGTATTAATGGTATGAAGTAATTTTGTTATTAGTACTCGAGACATGTGAAAAATATTTATGTTATGCAGACAGTTTAGGATTTTCAGTGAGAAAAATGACTGAAGTATCATGCATCTATTCATTACAATAGTGTAATCCGTGCACAATAATCGTACACATTAATTTCTGAAGTTTTTGAAACACTGTTGTTGAATTAAGGCGAGCCTCCTTAGTATTGCCAGTCAAAATTTAATGCTATACTTGGGAATTACAGGGAAGGCTATGCGTCATATTAACTTGAGACCTTCTTCGAATATTTAATGTAACGGGGCGAATTGGGAGCGCTTGCGCGAGAGCGAAATCGATGGCGATCGACGCGTGCGCAAGAACCGAAGAATTAGGCGATGCGAAAAGGGCGAGAAGTAGGAGGAAGCCTAGGAGTAGGGAGAGGCCGCGAGACTCCAGGAGACTCCAAGCAAAATTCTAAAAGCCAGAATAGGATGAGTTCTCGAAGAGAACAGAGTTAGATATCAAGGAGAATAAATTGAGATATCACCCAAATTTAATAGAAGTAGGATAGATTCAGGTCCCAATTGGACACAGATTTAGAAGGTAGAAAAGTCAGGAGTCAGACAGAGGCAAAATATTTATGAAATAAAGTTTATAGGAGAATTCTAGAAATTAAATCCCAACCCCAGCGATCTCTGCCATCGAGGTAGCCGTCGCATCCCTAATTTCNGCCGAAGTGTGAGAAGCAGATTTTGGAAATTGGATAGAGACGTTGAGGAAGACAGAGAAAGAGAGAGAGAGAGAGTGACAGAGATCGAGAGGAGACGACACATCCTCGTCGAGAATTAAGGTATTGGCCATACGGCCCTGATTATGTCTTTATTTGATTGTTTGTGATGAGGCGCACGGTCCCTGTCCGAGAGGGCCGCGCCATTTTTGAATAAGAGTAGATTCAGTAACCGGTAGCAGCGAGGAGGACGCGATCGCGGCGTATGATAAGTAGCGTTATTTAGACCGGGAGCCCGCGACCCTGAACATTGTGAACCGCGAGCGTAGAGTCGCGAAGTAGAGTAAGGATTTAGTGTCGCCCGGTGGCGACTGGCGCCCATTCCGCGAGTGTTAGTAGTATTTCGGGCGTCGAGCTTTGTGGCGGAAACCACGTCGCAACATATATATATATCAGATAACCCAAGCCTTACCGTATGCAGAAGATTCATCATTTCGTCCCGGATGCGCCGAGGGATTAACACCCACTTCCAGCGTCCCTCCTTCAAGGCAACCCAAACGTTCTGCTCCATGTCACCAGCCATAATAAACCTTTTTCTTCTTCAACTTCTCCGTACCGTGGGCAAATACCAAATAAATCGCGACCACGACGATCAAACCGCGCACCCCTAACTCCCCGAATCAGCACTTTTCGCGAAAGACTCCCCGCTTTAAATCAACTCAGCAGAACACTCACCACCACTCATCCGTACACTCACCTCCACACAATAGACATAAGTGAATTTTCAGATTGACGCGAACAACACTAACACGAGCAAGGATGCATGTCTGGATACTTCTCTTCGCACTGGCCCACCTAGCCACGGGACTCATCGAAAACTCTGGATACAAGACGATGCCCATCCGAAAATCCCCAGGAATTTATTTCGAAAAAATTCAGGAAATCCGGACCTTTCATGTCCGGTGGCGTCTGGTCACCGCAATTGAAATCGACGCCCTTTTGGTAAAAAGGCCACAAATCGATTCCCATATAAAGGAAGCCGGTGACCAGTGCCGAAAGGCCAACGTCACTTTCTGTGAGGCCAGTGAATGGACTCTGCGTATATATTTGGACAATTTAACATACGAGACCAATAGATACTTTATAATCACGAAAGGAATAGCGGGAGAACTAAATCAACAAAGCCTCGAGAAACATCGAGAAGCATATAGAACCTCCGTATGGCGCTGGATAACCGCCCTAGGAAGTCTGGTCCAGGAGTACCGTTCCGGAATCTTGTTGATAACAGACGCAGTCCTCTTTGCCGGGCAAGGAATTTTACACCCTGCAATCCTATCTGCGGAACAATTAACAAAATCAGTTAACTTAATACAAGCCAGTTCACCCTTGGAATTTCCCCTATCAACCCAAGAACTCCTAGCAGGCTTCCTCAATCACATAGCGGAAATCCAAACCCAATACCAAAACAAACGATTAATCCTCATCTTGACCTTCCCCCTCCTCGACAGAGACCCATTCCACTTATACAAAACATATCCAATTTCCACTCAACAATCCTACGGAACAACGACCCCGATAGCAGCTTACGTTCTACCCAAAATACCCTATATAGCCCTTTCTGAAGATCAAACCTACTTCTTTACACCAGAGGACCAATACATCCAACAATGCCTTCCTCACCGTCAACAACTCCTATGCGAACTCACTATCCCCCTCCACAAAACCGAATCATCCACGAGCTGTGAGGTTCAACTGTTGATCCAGCCGCAGGAAATGGATTGGAAGACTTGCGACCTTAGACTCACAACCCCTGGAGCCACGTACTGGCAAAAGCTGGTAACATCCAACAGCTGGCTCTATGCCGCCATTAAACCCGACACCCTAAGGATCCACTGCCAGAATAAAATCACATGGAGGCATGGAGGAAATCAAGGGACAGGGGATCTTACAATTGGCCCCCGGATGCAGGATGATCAGCCAAACCACACGGCTAACAGCAACCAAAGAAATTTCAACCAACACATCCTATCACTACACGCCATCAACACTGCTGAACCTCACATCGATTTCCGGACCAGTAGCCGAATCCCACCAAATAGCCATCGATCACTTAGCCAAGGAACTTACCTTCGGCAGCACTAACCAAAATTGGAAGCACGGCAAGAATGGAATGGCCCTATCACGATTGGACGCCGAAGTTCACAACATCCAAACCCAACATCAAACTCGACTCCATCACCAGCTTACAACCTACCTACCGGTAGGAATTTCAATTCCCACACTCTTTATCGTCCTCGCGGGACTCGCATACCTTTTTTTTCGACGATGTCCATTGCCAAAGTCACCGCGCCAAACACCGCCAGAACCACCGAGAGAACCCCCCGCGCTCACAAAATGCATCTCTCCACGCGGTCAATTCATTTCAAACCCAATTCCTTTGTCAACGCCCGCACCCCCGACGAATAGAGTGATTGCCATCTTACCGATCAGTAGCATAGAGACGGCACTTTAGCTCACCCGTCTGGTTCTGCCAAACTCTGTAATACCCGATCAACCATGTCAGATCACACTCATAAACACAGAAATTAAAAGAGGAGAAATTCCCATTCTTGAAACATCTGACGCATTTACCATTAACCCACATGGTTGATCGAGTAAATAGCAGCCCTAGGTTGACACCCTTGAAAGCACCATCCATCAGATGATGTTTCATCTAAGGGGGGAAGTGTTACGTAGACACTACTTACGAAATAATCGCGACCCGGTAAATTGGAAGGTAGTCATGGAATTCCATAAATTAGCACGCGATTTTGCCATACGCTTGCGAAATGAGGTCCCACTCGACCTGACTAAGATCGCGCCACCGACCCAAGTAGACCAGGTCGCGATCAACCGGGCCCAAATGCATCCTGGTGACGCTGCAACATGTCCTCCACCCCTGCAAACACCGCCCTCGTCTAAACCATGGAACCCCCACCAATTGGAGCGCCGTCCCAAATTCGTCAATAAAAACCAACAACCGTCCAGTTATTGGGCAGTTAATCGCAGTCAGTTAGAAGAAAGGTGAGACTCATACCGAGTCCCACGAAAATCATCATCGTCATCGACCACGAGCTTGGAGTCTTTGGTTCTCGACTCTCAGTTCCTAGCGAGTCTGAGACCGAAATCATCGAACTCGGAGGATCACCTGCACTTCGAGCTACAGTTGTGCTGCTCGGTACTCCGGCGATCCAAGAGCATCAATCCAGGAAGGGACGGCGGCACTAGTACATCCGTTGGACGGGAGGCTCCGAGGAGACCTCCAACCCTAGGGCACGTCACGGGCGGAACGCGTTCACGCGCAGTCATCCGGTTGGTCGATCTAAGGAGGACGTCACCGAACTTGGCCGCTGATCTAAGCCAGGTACAGGCCCTTTCGCAAGCTCGGGTCACCTTCATCTTTAATCCTAACCTCATCTTTCATCGCAACTAAAACCACCCGAATTCCATGCCTAGCTCCGGTTAACCGGATAGATTAAGTCTTTTATATCTCCAAACATTTCAATATCCTGTTTCGCGCTAGAGTCACGCGAACCTCGCAAATTCAGAATGCCAGAAGTGTCATGTTAGCAGATTAAGGCGTCCAGTGACCTACTGCCACTGACCGCCTTATCGCGTCATCCGAAACTCCGCAACGCGGAACGAAATCGAATCGTACGAATTAAATGCGAGCACCTTCGAGGACCCTCACGACTTGTATAAACCCCATCCGACTGAAAGACAAAAATATACATCCTCATCAATTTATTGATAATCTCCGTTTATTGGGCCTCCTTAGCTCCCCATTCCTACAAATCCCACCAGAGGATTTGGTCTAGCCGCTCGGACCATCTCCTCACAATAATATCTGATCATTACGTGGACGTTCGAGGTAAAACCTTATTGGGCAAAACCCGAACTTTCCCCTCGGCCGCCACGTAACAAGATTATGGATTAGTCCTAACACAAACTAACAAGCGGATGACATGAGTTTGTTTACTGCGTACCTTATCGTGAGAAGAGTCAATAATCGATATTAAAGAGAAAATAATTAAGTAATTGAATGAAAAAAATATTCCAGCAGTATTTAGGTATTAGAATGAAAATTTACTTGAATTACTCTCGTTCCAGGAGCGGCATTTTCAAACAATGTTGCCGTATATAATTTTGTATCAAATTCTGGTGCATTATCGTTAACATCGTTTACAATGATGATCGCTGGCACTGAAGTAGAAAGGTTTGATAGCGGCCCCACTTCTTGAGCAATTATCTAGAATGTAACCAGTGATTAATGAATATCACCAACATGGTCTTCATTTCATCGCATCAGGATATTCACCTTGAAGGTTAAACAGTGGTGCACCTCATAATCTATGAGAGAGTTGTCATGTACTGTTATCAGAAAATTTGCCGCACGCTCTGCAACGGCAGGAGATATATCGAAAGTGCCATTGTTGTTTTCCAGTTTCAAAGTGAATATTCCAGCTTTACCGATATCTTCATCAGTAACTTTCGTGATATATGGTTCCTTAAAAGTTAATATTGATCCAATCCCTGCATTCTCATCTATCGAAGCCATGTATCTACAATTATAGCAACAAGTCTGTTAAATATTGTTTCAGAGTATAATAATTGTGATTTGAAAAAGTACCATTGACGCTGCTTTTATAATTACGTAAAATATAATTATATGAACGAGAGAGATGCAAAACAAGTTCTCCAAGAGACGGGAAACCATGCCACTATAAAACATCACCATAAAGGTCGTTGGATGCTTAGAATTGTACTTTAATGTAGAATCCCTTTCGTTGCGAGTCTTTGATTCTCGATACGAAACAAGCTAATTACAAATCGTCTGAATTGAGGTCTTACAAGGAAACATTCCCAAGTATCCGCCTCCGATCTTATTGAGTTTCATATATGTTGAAGAACACAAAAATCTAAGAGGCACGTGTTTTTTTATATCTGCAATGATCCACATTTAAGGGGTGAAACAATCCCCCGAAGTTTAGCGAAAAATCGGTTTTTTAAACATTTTTCGTAGGAGCAGTGGAGGGATTTCGACGAAACTTTGTATAAACGTATTCTGTATAAGGTCGGTGACAACACAATATTGTTCAGTAATGTTGCACCCCCTCAAGGGGGTGAACTACCCTTCAGGTGACATTTTTTTGTAATATACATTAAACAAGCACTCCTACTTAAGTTCCACTTACGCGATGTGATTGCTCGCAAAAAATTAAGAAATACGTGTTTTTTGCTTTTTGCCAATAAACATTTAAACATCGGTTGTAAACAATGAATGTAGGTGGTATTGAAAATCCAATTTTATCGTTTCACCACGGAGATTGTATTACTAGTTGGAAACGGGTGATGACTGCATCGTCGAATCCGTTGCGAAACAATTTTAGCCTCTGAAACTATTTTTTAATTTATTTATAAATAATTGCATGTTATGAAAATCAATGACATTTTGAAGAATTACCACGTTGACACGACTTATGTACGATGAATTGGTCACGATATAACCCAATAAAGGTAGTCGGGATATACCCTAATACCACCTACATTCATTGTTTACAACCGATGTGTAAATGTTTATTGGCAAAAAGCAAAAAACACGTATTTCTTAATTTTTTGCGAGCAATCACATCGCGTAAGTGGAACTTAAGTAGGAGTGCTTGTTTAATGGATATTACAAAAAAATGTCACCTGAAGGGTAGTTCACCCCCTTGAGGGGGTGCAACATTGCTGAACAATATTGTGTTGTCACCGTCCTTATACAGAATACGTTTATGCAAAGTTTCGTCGAAATCCCTCCACTGCTCCTACGAAAAATATTTAAAAAACCGATTTTTCGCTAAACTTTGGGGGGTTGTTTCACCCCGTAAATGTGGACCATTGCAAATATAAAAAAACACGTGTCTCTTAGATTTTTGTGTTCTTCAACATATATGCAACTCAATAAGATCGGAGGCGGACACTTGGGAATGTTTCCTTGTTAGTCATTGTTTTTCGATACTCTCTAGGTCTGGTGGGTAAACGCATTAGGTGATTGTTCATCCGTGAGGTAGAATGGTACACACTACCCTATTTTGATACACTAATTTATTATCAGGCCACTTGTTGCATTGAGGGGTATTCTCGTATAAGAGTTTAAGAAATTACCAGTTTTCATGAACTTTTTATAAGAAAACTGTAAATTATATTTGAATTACTTTTTTTATAACATGAAGAGGTTTCTTAGAGTTTAAAAGATATTTTTTCTTTTAATTTTCTTTATGCTTCTTCAAATAGGATATAATGTTCGCAGCCACGTCCAACAACACAGCGAATGTCATCGAGAATTGTAGCAGCTGGATGTAACAGGCATCTGGGTGCCAAAAATAAAATATTTTCGTAAAACTGGATAGTATACGCTGGGGTTATGCCTATGTAAAAAAGAATATTTGCAAAATTGGAGAATTTCTAGTGTCCGGAATCAAAATGAACTGTTTATCATGTTCTGTTAATAAAACACTATTTTCCATATAGATGCTTTTTTGTGTCTTGTGTCTTGGTCTGTGCACCGCTGCCGTGCTACGTCCAACTTTTTACAATTAGTCTAGCCTGGCGCACATCTCTGGTACTCCTTTCAGCAATAAAAAATCAACTTTAAATTTCTGATATAAATATTATAAATAAATAATAAAATTGAAATGATGGGCATAATTCGTGGAGAAATGTGTAAGAAATTTAACGGGTTTTGTGTGGTTACATTTGTTGATTAGTTTTTGAGTTATCTTGCACGCTAATTTGAAAATTGTAGTTCCGAAGAGCACACGTTTAATAGTAGCCTCAATTTCATTTCAAGTTTTTATCTATCCCTGTTTATTTTATTTTTTATTAAAAAATTTAATCGTTAGTGAACAAATTGCTGTGATTTTAATAGCATCCGTTTTATAATCGAGGAATTCTGACGTGCGTTGTTTGGATATCTTTTACAGTTGTTTCGGACATTTCTACATTTGTGAAGATAACGGGCACCTCTATCACGAATAATAAATTAACGCATCTCATTCAACTGGTTATAACATCATTCGACCTTATGTACTTTCATGTTTCGACCTTAAAATTGTGTGTGTATACTTCAGTGATGTACTTTCGATTTATAAAAAAATCGATTTTTTTTTTGTTACATGAGAATCCTTCCTTAGATAGTAACTAAATTTTTGCTCCGAAAACATTAACAGTTCATGTGTTATCTGAACCATAAATTGAATTTAAATTCAATTACTTGGTAAGATAAAAAATATTAAATACGGTTGACACAGAACATACCTGTCACTTTCGAAGACTGGTGGATTGCTTCCTGTTTCACTCAGTAAGATTCCTAGTTCGATAACAGTTGCTTGAGCAACGGGTTCATCACTCGAGCGACGCACTTCCTCCGCAACTATAGTTAAGATAATTGGGATCCCAGTGTGTGTCATTTGGGAAATCTCTTCCAAAGGACGAGCTAAAGTAATTTCACCTGCAATGGATATCAGTTAACAAAATAAAATAGAAAGCAATAAACGACTATATCTGCAACAAAATTGATTGGTGTGACTTTGATCACAATGGGATATTTAAGTGAAAATACAAACATACATAATTTATTGCTGGATTGTAAAAAATTCACTAGTAAAGAGCTACAATATTTCAAGAGAACGTTATACAATTATAGCAAAACGTTTTTCAAAATTGTATTGTTAGTTTAGGAATGCATATTCTTTTGAATAAAACGAGACCGTTTCTGATACTGTTGTTATGTAGCCAATTACGTTCCTACAATATTGAGAAGTGTGATAAACGAGCAACACCGAACAAAAGGTTGAATGTACGTATTGGGTTGTTCGGAAAGTAATTTCGTTGTTTCCCAATAGAGGACTTAATTTTTGTTTCACGGCCAACTTCACACTTAAGCCGCATAATCACTATATATTTTGACAGCTGATCTAGCAAGGCTTGCTTGTGAAAAAGTTTGATTGATTCTACGCAGTAGTTTTTTGGTTGGTACCCTTTTAAATATGGAAAGTGAAAAGCGGCATTTACGGCATATTTTACTTTCTTACTATCAAGAAGGTAAAAATACTGTTCAAGCAAGAAAAACATTATCCGATGTGTATGGAGAAGATGTATTGACGGAACGCCAGGGTCAAAATTGGTTTGCAAAATTTAGATCCGGCAATTTTGATATTGAAGATGCACCACGTTCTGGAAGGCCACTTAAAGCTGATGAAAACACAATAAAGGCATTAATTGATGCAAACCGGCGAATAACAACTCGTGAAAATGCTGAGAGATTAAATTTATCGAATTCGACCGTTCATGATCATTTGAAACGCCTAGGTTTAATCCCACAGCTCGACATATGGATTCCTCATGTTCTTACGGAATGAAATTTGTGTCATCGCATTGACGTCTGTGCTTTGCTTCTCAAACGTGAAGAAAATTATCCATTTTTGAAGCGCATTATCACTGGGGACGAGAAATGGGTTGTCCACAACAATGTTACACGCAAGAGATCATGGAGTAAAAAAGATGAATCGGCTCAAAGAACTTCGACAGCCGAAATTCATCAAAAAAAGGTGATGGTATCTGTTTGGTGGGATTTCAAAAGCATCGTTTTTTTTTTGAGAGAGATTCTACCGAACAACACAACGATCAATTCTGAAGTGTACTGTCACCAGCTGGACAAATTGAATGATTCACTTAAACAGAAGAGACCAGCATTGATCAATAGAAAAGGTGTAGTGTTTCACCAAGATAATGCGAGACCTCATACAAGTTTCTTCACTCGCCAAAAGCTTCAATAGCTTGGATGGGATATACTGCCACCCCCACCATATTCTCCAGATCTGGCACCTTCTGAATATTACTTGTTCCGGTCTTTACAACATTTTTTAGACGGTAAAACCTTTACTTCAAATGAGGAGGTCAAAAATCACATGGATCAGTTTCTTTACAGCAAAGCCAAACATTTTATGAGCGTGGAATCATGTTACTGCCAGAAAGATGGCAAAAGGTATTGGACCAGAATGGACAATATATAATCCAATAAAATATTTATTCGCTATAAAAAAATCGTCTTTCATTTTCATAAAAAAAAAACGAAATTACTTTCCGAACAACCCAATAGAATCTTTTCATATCTGTGAAATATTTAAATCTATTAGTGTGACCCTAAGGGTGACGCTAGGAGGTTAGAGTAGGTATAGTTCAGCTTCAGGACCTCTCGGAGCCCGTGGAACCGTGCGAAGTGAAGGGACGTGAGAAAGTCAAGGCGGAAGCCCCGGGTTCAGGTTACCCGGGAGGTGGGACCCTTTGTCCCACAGGAGGTATACTGCGAATTCACTGGTAGGACGCCCATCCGGAAAGCGGACCGAATACGAAGTCCTCCAACCGAGTGGTGCGCTTCATCCGGAGAAATTCGCTGGCAAGGGCCGCCTGGGGACTAACAACCCCAGCACCCCGACTGGAGGGGATCGACAGGGTGAGGTCTGATTGACTTGAGAATGATTGAGAGTTCGGTGGTGTTGCATTTGTCTCTGCGATTCGTTGTAAAATTTCATTGCGTATGTTGAATGTCGTCTGAAATTGCATTTGATGTTAACCTTTGATTTTTAAATATTTCACTGAATGTTACTATTGTAATTGATTGTTTCCTAATTTTAAGCTCGGTTCCCAATTTACCCCTTACAATATTTTATTGAAATTTAGTTCGAATCGATTAATTCCTAATTAACATTAAATTTATAATGTCGAGGTTTGGTTCCCCATGAATTTTTATTAAATCCTATGCCAATTAATTAACCATTGTTTTATGTTGGTCGTATTCTTGCATTTTTTTTTAATTTTGGTCTAACATGACATGTAACGATACATGAAATATTCCAGATTTTAATTTTGCCAAAGTAGATTTGTAATTTCGAAATCCAAATTCTTGCAAACTTCATTGTATAGTGTATGCTTGTAATTGTGACTTTCGTGTTCGCACATTGTTCCAATTGAAAATGTAGACATTTGACCCGCATATATTTTGGGATACACCCCGAGTTGTATTCGAAATTTATTTTTAAGGTTGTTCTTTAGTAATAAAATTTTGTTAACTGTTAATACCCCTAGCCTTGTTATTTCCGTCTTTGACCCTCTGTGCACCTCAGTCCCCGGCTCTACGATTGAATTCATGGTCAAAAAGGGGGTTTGATCCGTGCTGCAGGTAAGTTGATCTGAATGCGGATCAAGATTTGTTAATATTTCGACGTAAAAAAAAAATTGGGGGCTCGTCCGGGATGACTAGCACATGGTCGTCGAAAATAGGAGATGAATACTAGGTCCACAGGCCCTGCATCAGATTCAGAAGAATTACCCCCTCCCTTTCGAAGCAAATCTAAACTTTTCCGTTCTACGGAAAATTTATCCTCTTTGGGAGCCGAAACTAACGAGCCCGAAGAAACTTCAGATAAACGCTCTGTATCGAACCCACCAGTTTTCGATTCCCCGACAACCAGCATCCCTAAAGGACAGAGTATTTTTGACTTAATACCCCTTCAAGCGGCACTAGAAGAAAAATCTTCTTCCGGTCAACCCAAAAGTCTTCCCAGGGGAAGGCCACCCAAGTCCAAAGGAAATACTCCAAAAACCCCCACAGTACTCGAGACATTTGATTTTCTGAGCGTCTACAACGACCTCTTGAGTGATAGGATTCTCCAACCATCCGAAATTGTTAAAATAGAATCTATCGATATGGTCTCCAATAATCAGTTAGTCTCTCTGAGGCACCCCTTGGAGGCTAACTCCAAATTTGATGGCGGAAATATTTTCTAGAGTAGGTTTATAGAAGGATGCGACGGGGCTCGGTCTATGCTCCCAGAAAACATTGAGGGTAACCTCACTAAATTGATACGAACCTGTCTAACTGGAGAAGCGCGACGCACGATCCACAACCAACCCTTTGATGAAGTTGAAAATTTGTGTAAATTTTTGAAGGATTTATTTGCCCCTGCCAAAATTGTATATCAATTGCAAGGAGAGCTAGGAAGCTCTTTTCAAGAGGACGACGAAATCGTATTGACCTACGCAAACTGCGTAAGGAGTCTAGGTGGCGATATCTTGGAAGCGCACAAAATTAATCAACGGTGGAAGGGTGGACCCTAACTTCCAAGCACCAATCTAGGGCGACTTGAAAAGATGCTTCATCCAAGGATTGAAACCGGAGATAGAACAACGAATTAGCAATTTCGAAGACATCAAGGAAGCAGTGACCAAGGCCATAGAAATTGAGAGGGAACTAGCAGCGAGGATGGCCCTGCGGAAGAAGCGAGGAAAAGGCGACCCGAAGACCACTTCACCAACAGCTGCAGCCAAACCACGGAAGGTACAGGCCGATATCCACGTGATCGGCACTACCGAAGGATGCTGTACTATCTGCCAACGGCCTGGTCACACTGCCGACACCTGTTACCGAAGGAATGCAGGGACCCCTAACCAGACAGCTGAGCCCATCCAAAATTCAACCCCTTCACCAATAGTAATTTGCCAAATTTGCCAGAAGAGAGGACACGGAGCGGATAAATGCTGGCGGCTCCAACCTACCACAATCACATGTCAATTATGTCAAAATAGGGGTCACACGGCTATCCAGTGCTCAAGGAACCCCCGGGTTGTAAGTCCACCAAGGGAAACTCCGATATGTCAAATCTGCCGGAAGAGAAGGCACTTAGCCGACAAATGCTGGTCCGCGGTCCGAAATCCATAGCCTCCAGTCTCGCAAGTACGAAGACCCAGGAACCAAATCTGCCAGAGGAATGGTCACACAGACCAATGCAGAACTACAATTAGGACCGGGGGAGTACCCTCAGGAGAAACCAAAACCTGCCGATACTGCAAGAGAGAGGACCACACCATAGAGGAATGTAGGACCAGGGAATACAACAACAGTAGAAACAACCCGCCGGGAAACGGGAACGGGCCTTTCGGAACCAGCGCGCCGAGGGAGCCCGCAAGCCAACAGCGTCAAGCCATGGTGATGCAGCAGAACGAGATAGGAACCAACAGCGAGTATTCCGAACAGTGGATATCTATTTAAATGGGAGCAAGCGTGTACCAACTATCAAATTAAAATTAAGAAATGAGCCAATAGAGACCTAATGCTGGTTTCAGGAGCCAACCCTAACATTATGGAGATCGGGATAGTGGAAGATCACGAGCAGATCGATTTTACCGCAATTTTGCAGTTTAACGGGATTTGGCCAGACCCTGTATTCACTTTGAGACAAATGAAAGTGAATTTGCTAGGGAACATGGTCCTATTCCACATAGTACCCGATGACTTCCCGATAGTAAAATCCGCAATTTTGGGATTGGAATTCTTTATCCAGAGTGAAGCCGTTATAAACTATGCCAGAAAACAGCTTGAACTCCCAGGAAACATTATACCTTTTGCGACACCCGAGACCATTATGCTCCCTGCTCCATTAGGATAGCAAA